GGGGAGAAAGGAAGACAATGCATTGTTAAATTTGATTTATTGGCTAATAATTATTTAATTATTATAATTAATTAATTTTAATTAAGTAAAAGTATCTCATTTTATTGCATTGTATCGGTAAAACACAACTTTGTCAACAAAAACAAGGTACAAGAATAGTCTTGTAAGCTGAACATAGGCAAGGTACATGTCTGCTAGGTTTGAGACCATGAAGACACCGCCCGTTGGGGCATATTCGATGGTGGAGGTGACCAACTGCCTTGATTGCTTCTGATCAAAAGGGGCATAATGTAAGTTCCACGTTCCAAGATACTCTCCCCCCCCCTCCCCAATTAAATTCGAGTTTTGTGAATTCGTCCTCTAACGGGTTTGGAAGGTATTTTTGACGGGTGATTAACAATTACATGGTTGTCAGCAAGCACATCTATCAAGTTAGAGCATATGATATTTACTTCAGTAATATATGGATGACCAATCGCAGGACTTAAGTCTAATCAACAACATGAGTGGTAAGATAATATTCTCTCATAAGCAGAACTACTGGAGTCCTTCTAAATTCCCACGCTAAGCGTTGGCAACAATCGTCTTTCTCAAGGGATGGGGAGTTAAGTGAAGTAAGAAAAGTATAGAAGTGACGAAACTCAGAATAATTGCATTTGTTCCATTCGATGAACGTCGCTCAGAGTGCCTGCATCTTATACTTCCGTTTTATTAGACAGAAACCATAATTAATAACTTAAATTTCAACATAACACTTACCAATAAGACTTTACGCGCACTAGAAATATTAATTCTACCACATGGTATTTGCTGTTTAAATAACTCACCATATAGTCCTCATGTCTATACCCAATCTGTTCAATAGTATAGGGCCGCCGAACTAGCGGAATATCAGCCGGGTCATTTCTGTGCTGTGTTGTTTTAGGAAGGGTGGCGTAGTCATCATAATCCATCCTATTAAAATGGGTCACGGAATGATCAGAATTGGCACAAGGATCCTCCCGACGTCGTGTATCATTCGAAAGAACAGGTCGTCTCTTGGGGAGATGTGTTTCTACTTCTTCAAGAAAAGTGGAAGACGATTTCCACTTGGGTTGATGAGGGAATTTTTGAACTTCCGTCTGTTCGGTGGCATATGCATTAAAATCAACAGGAGATGGAGTTCTTCGAAGGTCTGAAGGGATTGCACGGACGCCGGTCAAAATGACGGATTTGTTTGAGTCTCTGGGAGGGTTTGAATGGGCGTTTATTTTGTATGGATTATCTTCCTCGTCAAATGATCCAGAAGATCTCCTTCGTGAAATCAGGAAACAGCTTGAATCTTTCTTATCACATTTGCGTGTTCTAGATAGAGAGGTTATATTCCACTTAGAATTAGGGCCGTTAAATATTAAAAAAATTAGGTAGTGCTTTCAGTCTGACTTTAAATAAGAATAAAGAAAAAATTACAATATTTATAGTCATAAAATGCATGTTTGGTGAATAGCTATTTCCCATTTCATTGAAAAGTCTGACATTTTGATCGGTTTCTATTTTCGAGGTTTATAATAGTGTAGAAAATTTAATAATGTATGATAAAGTTTATTTAACCTTGAGATTTGCAGTATTTTTAGCTTAATAGAATTCACCTTTGCTGAATCCCAGTGAATTTTGGCATGTTAAAACAGGATCTCTTAGTAGCATCTACCTGCACTCAAGTAAATCAATTGCTTACCAAATTCTGAGTATCGTGAACGGGGAGTTTAAGCCACTTCATTTGAAAGTGGACTGTATCTTTTCCGAGATTGCGAGCATCTCAGTGATTCCAGATTTCACGAAAAAAAAACTCAAGAATTTTGAAAGATGACTTCGGTGTCTACTCATTGATGCTCACTTCTTTTGATCTTGTTGGATTAAGTTTGCATTTCACTATGACCAATTATTTCCCAATGATTAAGATTTATGTTACCATGGCCGGGGTGTGCGATAGACTTACCTCCCTGGGCAACTTATACTCATACGGTAAAAAAGTCTATTAACCGATAGTTGACTTCAGAATCCAAACTATCATCACCCCACTGTATGTCAAATTCGGCTACTTCAACCATACTCACCTCACCTTTTTACCAACTTTGTGTCTGTCTCTTTTACATCTTTGAAACACTCTTCTGCCCCCCCTCCATCTCAACCTTTTTCACTTTGATGTTCCTTCCCATCTGTGAAGCCTGAAGTCAACTAAAGGGCTAATGATAACTATCAAAACGCCTGCCATTTGATATAAATAAATATTACCATGGCCAAAACCAAAAATTGCCATTAGAATCTCGTTGCCATTAAAATGAATCAAACGGTCAACTAGCAATTTAAAAGTAAATCAACCATTCATTGTCAATTAGTCTTATAATTAACATATTTTCCGAATCTGTCAAATTGTAGTCATTGCCTGGTATAATATTGGCTTTTGAGCAATTACCTATTTTACCGTGTTCTGGTATTTTTTGGCTATTTTGGAGACAAAACAAGTTTTTAAAAAAAAAGTGATTAAAAAATTAAATTGAAAACGGCAAATCAAACTCGTGTGGGAATTAAAGAGGAATTAATCATTATTGCCAAAAAAATAAGCAAATTCCACCAGTGATTAATTGGTTAATTTGCAAGAGAAAATGGAATAGAAATAAGCTGGCTATTTCGGAACCGCGTAATTTGATACTGAAAACATCGACATCACAGAGGTCGTGCACACGCACACACACATACACACTTTCAGAGTTCTTTGTTGCCATAACTTACCTAATAAAGCTGAAAGATTATTGGGAATGGAAGAAATAGATAAATTAATAAATACAATAAAATTTAAAAGAAAAAAACTTAGCCCCTATATTCTCATAAACTCAAAATTAAGGGAAATCTGCAGGCTACGTAGATTTGTTGTACACGTTATCGCTGTGTGCGTCATCGTATGCCCGCATGTC